CCCCAGTATCCCACATATCTGCCAGCACCCCATTACCCCCAGTACCCCCCACACCTCCCCAGTACCCCCATGTCCCCAGAATCCATGTACCCCCCAGTATCTCCATATCCCCCAGTATCCCCATACCTTCCTGCATTCCCCATTCCAGTATCCATGTACCCCCCAGTATCTCCTTTATCCCCCATTCCCTGCAGCATCCCCCATGTCCCCCAGCATCCCCTGTACCCCCATATCCCCCATTCCCTGCAGCATCCCCCATGTCCCCCAGCATCCCCTCTACCCCCATATCCCCCATTCCCCCCATTCCCACCATGTCCATCAGCATCCCCTCTACCCCCCATTCCCCCATGTCCCCAGCATCCCCTGTACCCCCATATCCCCCATTCCCCCCAGCATCCCCCAGGTCCCCCAGCATCCCCTGTACCCCATATCCCCCATTCCCTGCAGCAACCCCCATGTCCCCGACCATCCCCTCTACCTCCATATCCCCCAGCATCCCCTCTGTCCCCCATATCCCCTCTACCCCCATATCCACATGTCCCCAGCATCCCTCAGTATCCCATGTATTCCCTGCAGCATCCCCCATTCCCCCCAGCATCCCCCATGTCCATCAGCATCCCCTCTACCCCCGTATCCCCCATGTCCATCATCATCCCCTCTACCCCCCATTCCCCCAGCATCCCCCATATCCCCCAGCATCCCCTGTACCCCCATATCCCCGGTACCCCCGTATCCCCCATGTCCCCAGCATCCCCCAGCATCCCCTGTACCCCCGTACCCCCATTCCACCCATGTCCCCCAGCATCCCCCATGTCCCCCAGCATCCCCTGTACCCCCATATCCCCCATTCCTCCAGCATCCCCCAGCATCCCCTGTACCCCCCATGTCCCCCAGCATCCCCTGTACCCCCGTATCCCCCATGTCCCCAGCATCCCCTGTACCCCCGTATCCCCCATTCCCCCAGCATCCCCTGTATCCCCCAGCATCCCCTCTACCCCAGCATCCCCTGTACCCCCGTATCCCCCAGCATCCCCTGTACCCCCATTCTCCCCATGTTCCCCAGCATCCCCTGTACCCCCATATCCCCCATGTCCCCCAGCATCCCCTGTACCCCCATTCCTCCCATGTCCCCCAGCATCCCCCATGTCCCCCAGCATCCCCTGTACCCCCATGTTCCCCAGCATCCCCATTCCCCCCCATTCCCCCCCCTCTCCCCGCGCCCCCCGGCACCCCCAGACCTGGCCCCGCAGCGCCTCAAGCTCGGCCTGGCAGCGCTGGATGAGCCGGTTCAGCTCCTGGATGCGGCCGCGGGTGCTGAGCAGCTCAGCCCCGCGCTGCCCGGCCGCCGTCCGCAGCTCCTCGTACTGCGGGGGCACGGGGAGGGGGGAAGGTCATGGGAGAGTGGAAATGGGGTGGGGGGAGCACGGGAGCATGGGAGCATGGGGTGATGGGGTTATGGGGTTATGGGGTTATGGGATCAGGGGGTTATGGAAGTATGGGGTTATGGGGTTATGGGGTTATGGAGTTATGGGGCTATGGGATTGGGGGGTTATGGGAGCATGGGGTTATGGGGTTATGGGATCAGGGGGTTATGGAGTTATGGGGTTATGGGGTTATGGGGTTATGGAGTTATGGGGTTATGGGATTGGGGGGTTATGGGAGCATGGGGTTATGGGGTTATGGGAGCATGGGGTTATGGGAGCATGGGGTTATGGGGTTATGGGGTTATGGAGTTATGGGGTTATGGGATTGGGGGGTTATGGGAGCATGGGGTTATGGGGTTATGGGGTTATGGGGTTATGGAGGTATGGAGTTATGGGGTTATGGGGTTATGGGGTTATGGGGTTATGGAGTTATGGGGTTATGGGGTTATGGAGTTATGGGATCAGGGGGTTATGGGAGAATGGGGTTATGGAGTTATGGGGTTATGGAGTTATGGGGTTATGGAGTTATGGGGTTATGGGGTTATGGGGTTATGGAGTTATGGGTTTATGGGGTTATGGAGTTATGGGATTAGGGGTTTATGGGAGCATGGGGTTATGGAGTTATGGGGTTATGGGATCGGGGGTTATGGGAGCATGGGTTCATAGGGTTATGGGATCAGGGGGTTATTGGAGCATGGGGTTATGGGGTTATGGGATCGGGGGTTTATGGAAGCATGGGGTTATGGAGTTATGGGGTTATTGGAGCATGGGGTTATGGGGTTATGGGATCGGGGGGTTATGGGAGCATGGGGTTATGGGGTTATGGGATCAGGGGGTTATGGGAGCATGGGGTTATGGAGTTATGGGGTTATGGGGTTATGGGGTTATGGATTTATGGAGTTATGGGATCAGGGGGTTATGGGAGCATGGGGTTATGGGGTTATGGGGTTATGGGGTTATGGGATCGGGGGGTTATGGGAGCATGGGGTCATGGAGTTATGGGGTTATGGATTTATGGAGTTATGGGATCGAGGGGGGTTGGGAGCATGGGGTTATGGAGTTATGGGGTTTAGGGGTTATGGGATCGGGGGTTTATGGGAGCATGGCGTTATGGAGTTATGGGATCGTGGGGTTGTGGGGTTATGGATTTATGTGATCATGGGGTTTTGGGAGCATGGGGTTATGGGATCATGGGGTTATGGGATCATGGAGTTATGGCATAATGGAGTTATGGGAGCATGAGAGTTGGGGATCATTAAGTCTTGGAGTTATGGGATCACAGGATCTTGGAGGTATGGGATCACGGGAGACATGGCGTTACGTGAGCATGGGATCATGTAGGTATGGAGTTACGGGAACCCTGAGTTATGGGATCATGGAGTTATGGGAACAGTGAGTTTTGGCATCATGGAACCATGGGATTATGGGAACATGGGATCATGGGATCATGGAAGCATGGAGTTATGGGTTCATGGAGTTATGGGATCATGGAGTTATGGGATCATGGAGTTATGGGATCATGGAGTTATGGGTTCATGGAGTTATGGGATCATGGAGTTATGGGATCATGGAGTTATGGGTTCATGGAGTTATGGGTTCATGGAGTTATGGGATCATGGAGTTATGGGATCATGGAGTTATGGGATCATGGAGTTATGGGTTCATGGAGTTATGGGATCATGGAGTTATGGGTTCATGGAGTTATGGGATCATGGAGTTATGGGATCATGGAGTTATGGGTTCATGGAGTTTCGGGTTCATGGAGTTATGGGTTCATGGAGTTATGGGATCATGGAGTTATGGGTTCATGGAGTTATGGGATCATGGAGTTATGGGTTCATGGAGTTATGGGTTCATGGAGTTATGGGTTCATGGAGTTATGGGTTCATGGAGTTATGGGATCATGGAGTTATGGGATCATGGAGTTATGGGATCATGGAGTTATGGGTTCATGGAGTTATGGGTTCATGGAGTTACGGGATCATGGAGTTATGGGTTCATGGAGTTATGGGTTCATGGAGTTACGGGTTCATGGAGTTATGGGATCATGGAGTTACGGGTTCATGGAGTTATGGGATCATGGAGTTTCGGGTTCATGGAGTTATGGGATCATGGTGTTTTGGGTTCATGGGGTTTCGGGTTCACGCCCCCCCATTGCCCCCACCTTTCCGTGGCACCGGGCCTCGGCGTCGGCGCGGCCGCGGGCGGCGATGTCCTCGCAGTGCGCGCGCGCCTCGGCCAGCAGAGCCGCCAGGTCCAGGCCGCGGTTGTTGTCCATGGAGAGCACCACGGCCGCGCCCGGCGCCGCCCGCTGCAGCTCCCGCAGCTCCTGCGGCACCGGGAGGGGGGGGTCAGGGGCATTGGGGGGTCCCCGTCCCCCCGTCCCCCCCCCCACAAAGGCCTTGGGGTCCCCACCTCCTCGTGGAGCTGCCGCAGGAAGTTGATCTCGTCGGTCAGGCTCTCCAGACGCGCCTCCAGCTCCACCTTGCTCATGTACGCTTCGTCCACGTCCTGCAGCACCGCCACCGCCACCAGCACCGTCAGGGCCATCCCGGAACCGCCAAACCAGGACCTCCATCCCATCACCCCCATCCCAGCACCCCCAACCCATCACCCCCATCCCTGTCACCCCCATCCCATCGCCCCCATCCCATCACCCCCATCCCATCACCCCCATCCCACCACCCCCATCCCTGTCACCCCCATCCCATCCCCTCATCCCATCACCCCCATCCCTGTCATCCACATCCTGTAACCCCATCCCATCACCCCCCCCATCCCATCACCCCCATCCCATCACCCCCATCCCATCACCCCATCCCCGTCACCCCAATCCCATCACCCCCATCCCATCCCCCATCCATCATCCACCCCCATCCCCCATCCATCCCATCCCCCATCCATCCCATCACCCCCATCCCGTCACCCCCATCCCCCATCCATCCCATCACCCCCATCCCGTCACCCCCCATCCCCCATCCATCCCGTCACCCCCATCCCGTCACCCCATCCCTGTCACCCCCATCCCATCCTCCCCATCCCTGTCATCCACATCCTGTAACCCCATCCCATCCCCCCCATCCCATCCCTCCATCCATCACCCCCATCCCATCCCCCAATCCCACACCCCCATCCCATCACCTCAATCCCATCACCCCATCCCAGCATCCCCATCCCATCCCCCCCATCCCATCCCCCCCATCCCTGTCATCCACATCCCTGTCATCCACATCCTGTAACCCCATGCGGTGGTTGATCCCATCCCTCCATCCATCACCCCCATCCCATCCCCCCATCCCACACCCCCATATCACCCCATCCCACACCCCCACCCTGGGACCATGGGGACCTTCTGGGGCACAAACTCATTTTCCTTCTATGGTGCGGTGGTTGGGGTCATGGGACCTTGGGGATGGGGATGTGGGGTATGGGCTATCGGTTATGGGATATAGGGTCATGGGACCATGGGGATGTGGGGACATGGGGGTATGGGTCAATGGGGATATGGGAACATGGGATATGGGGTCATGGGACCATGGGGATATGGGATACAGGGATGTAGGACATGGGTGTATGGGAACAAGGGTTATGGGACATGGGGAAATGGAGATAGGGGAACACGCAGATGTGGGGACATGGAGAGGTCTGGGTATGGGAACACGGGCACACCAGCTTATGTGGCCATGTGGCCATGGGGCTCATGTGTGCACGGCAACATGGGGAGGACACCTGGATGCAGGGACACTGGGGGGCACCAGGATGCAGGGACACTGGGGGGCACCAGGATGCAGGGACACTGGGATGTGGGGTCCCAGCCCTATGGGCCCAGAGGGGTGCGGGATCCCAGAGCCACAGGAACCCCCCCAGGGGCTGAGGGATGGGGATGCTCCATCCCCACAGCTGGGTCAGTGGAGACCATGGACCATGGACCCTATGGCCCTTATGGACCAGGGACCCTATGGCCCTTATGGACCAGGATGCAGGGACACTGGGATGTGGGGTCCCAGCCCTATGGGCCCAGAGGGGTGCGGGATCCCAGAGCCACAGGAACCCCCTGGGGGCTCAGTGATGGGGATGCTCCACCCCCACAGCTGGGTCAGTGGAGACCATGGACCATGGACCCTATGGCCCTTATGGACCACGGACCCTATGGCCCTTATGGACCAGGGACCCTATGGCCCCTATGGACCACGGACCCTATGGCCCTTATGGACCAGGGACCCTATGGCCCCTATGGACCATGGCCCTTATGGACCACGGATCCTATGGCCCTTATGGACCACAGGCCCAATGGACCCTATGGACCATGGACCCTATGGCCCCTATGGACCATGGACCCTATGGCCCCTATGGACCAGGGACCCTATGGCCCCTATGGACCATGGACCCTATGGACCTTATGGACCGTGACCCTTATGGCCCCTATAGACCATGGCCCCTATGGATGTTATGGACCATGGCCCTTATGGTCCCTATGGACCACAGACCCTATGGCCCCTATGCACCACGGACCCTGTGGCCCCTATGGACCATGGAGCCTATGAACTCTATGGCTCCCATGGACCCTATGTCCCCTATGGACCATGGCCCCCATGTCCCCTATGGCTCCTATGGCCCCTATGAACCCTATGGCCCATGGCCCCAGTGTCCCCTACATCCCCCATGTCCCCATGTCCCCCATATCCCCCCATTTCCCACTGTTCCCTATGTCCCCCATATCCCCCATGTCCCCATATCCCCCATGTCCCCGTATCCCCCATGTCCCCTATGCCCCCCATATCCCCCCATTTCCCACTGTTCCCTATGTCCCCCCTGTCCCCTATGTCCCCCCATGACCCCATATCCCCTATGTCCCTGCTGTCCTCCATATCCCCCATGTTCCCTATGTCCCCCATATCCCCCCTGCCGCCTATATCCCCCCCATGTCCCCACTGTCCCCCATATCCCCTATGTCCCCTATAGGCTCCCCATGTCCCCTATATCCCAATATCCCCCATATCCCCCCTATATCCCCTATGTCCCCCATGTCCCCACTGTCCCCCATATCCCCTATGTCCCCTATAGGCTCCCCATGTATCACCCCCTATATCCCCCATATCCCCCCTATATCCCCTATGTCCCCCATGTCCCCCCTGTCCCCCCATGTCACCTACGTCTCCCCTATAGCCCCCCTATGTCCCCCAGGTCCCCCCATGTCCCCATATACCCCATGTACCCTATGTCCCCCCTGTCCCCCATGTACCCTATGTCCCCTATAGCCCCCCTATGTCCCCACTGTCCCTCATATACCCCAGGTCCCCTATAGGTCCCCCATATCCCCTGTCCCCTATATCCCCATATCACCTATGTTGCCCCTGTCCCCTATGTGCCCTATGTCCCCTATGACCTCCATATCCCTCCTATCCCCTATATCCCCATATCCCCCCTATAGCCCCCCCCGTCCCCTATGTCCCCCATATCCCCCATGTCCCCCCTGTCCCCTATATCCCCTATGTCCCCCATATCCCCTATGTCCCCCCTGTCCCCTATGTCCCCATATCTTCCCCTGTCCCCTATGTCCCCCATATCCCCCATATCCCCCCCCCGTCCCCCCTGTCCCCTATGTCCCCCATATCCCCCATGTACCCCCCTGTCCCCTATGTCCCCATATCCCCCATGTCCCCGATATGTCCCCCCCGTCCCCTATGTCCCCCATATCCCCCATATCCCCCCTGTCCCCCCTTCCCCTATGTCCCCATATCCCCTATGTCCCCCCTTTCCCCTATGTCTCCATATCCCCCATATCCCCTATATCCCCCCCGTCCCCCCTGTCCCCATATCCCCCATATCCCCCCCATGTCCCCCCCCCATCCCCCCTGTCCCCTATGTCCCCCATGTCCCCCCTGTCCCCTATATCCCCTATGTCCCCGCTGTCCCCTATGTCCCCTACGTCCCCTATATCCCCCATATCCCCCCATGTCCCCCCTCTTTCCCCCACCGGCTCTTGCAGTCCCTGAGCAGCTCCCTTGCAGTTCCCAGCTCGGCCTCCAGGCGGCGCCGCTCCTCTCCGAGCCCCTGCAGCTGCCCCCGGAGCGCGGCGCTGCAGCGCTGGAGCAGCGCGGCCGGGCCGGGGCCGCGGGGTCCCTGCGCCCGCCGCTGCAGCAGCGCCCACTTGGTGCCCAGGAGCTCGTTCTGCTGCTCCAGGAGCCGGACCTGGGGGGGAACGGGGGCTGAGGGGGGAAAGGGGGGGCCTGGGGGGGGATTGGGGGTCATTGGGGGGGATTTGGGGTCATTGAGGGGGGGATTTGGGGTCATTGGGGGGGGATTGGGGGGTCATTGGGGGGGATTTGGGGTCATTGAGGGGGGATTTGGGGGTCATTGGGGGAGGGATTTGGGGGTGCTGGGGGAGGGATTTCAGCATTGGGAGGGATTTGGGGTCCTGAGGGGGAGATTGGGGGTCATTGGGGGGGATTTGGGGTCATTGGGGGGCATTTGGGGTCATTGGGGGGGGTATTTGAGGTCATTGAGGGGGGATTTGGGGTCATTGGGGGGGATTGGGGGTCATTGAGGGGGATTTGGGGTCATTGGGGGGGGATTTGTGTGTGTCATTGAAAGGGGATTGGGGTCATTGGGGGGGGATTTGGGGGTCTTTGGGGGGGATTTGGGGGTCATTGGGGGGGGATTTGGGGGTCATTGAGGGGGGATTTGGGGTCATTGGGGGGATTTGGGGTCATTGGGGGGATTTGGGGGTCATTGGGGGGGTTGGGGGTCATTGAGAGGGGATTGGGGGTCATTGGGGGGGGATTTGGGGTCATTGAGGGGGATTTGGGGTCATTGGGGGGGGATTTGGGGTCATTGAGAGGGGATTTGGGGTCATTGAGGGGGATTTGGGGGTCATTGAGGGGGATTTGGGGTCATTGGGGGGGATTTGGGGTCATTGGGGGGGGTTGGGGATCATTGGGGGGGGTTTGGGGTCATTGGGGGGGATTTGGGGGTCATTGAGGGGGGATTTGGGGGTCATTGGGGGGGATTTGGGGGTCATTGGGGGGGATTTGGGGTCATTGGGGGGGATTTGGGGTCATTGGGGGGGATTTGGGGTCATTGGGGGGGGATTTGGGGTCATTGGGGGGGGATTTGGGGTCATTGGGGGGGATTTGGGGGTCTTTGGGGGGGATTTGGGGTCATTGGGGGGGATTTGGGGTCATTGAGGGGGGATTTGGGGGTCATTGGGGGGCATTTGGGGGCATTGAGGGGGGATTTGGGGTCATTGGGGGGGGATTTGGGGGTCCTGGGGGGGATTTGGGGTCATTGGGGGAGGATTTGGGGTCATTGGGGGGGGATTTGGGCGTCATAGAGAGGGGATTGGGGTCATTGGGAGGGATTTGGGGTCATTGAGGGGGATTTGAGGGTCGTTGGGGGGGATTTGGGGTCATTGGGGGGGATTGGGGGTCATTGAGAGTGGATTTGGGGTCGTTGAGGGGGATTTGGGGGTCATTGGGGGGGTTTGGGGGTCATTGGGGGAGGGATTTGGGGTCATTGGGGGGGTTTGGAGTCATTGGGGGAGGGATTTGGGGGTCATTGGGGGGGATTTGGGGGTCATTGGGGGGGTTTGGGGGTCATTGAGGGGGGATTGGGGGTCATTGGGGGAGGGATTTGGGGGTCATTGAGAGGGGATTGGGGGTCACTGGGGGGGATTTGGGGTCATTGAGGGGGGATTTGGGTCATTGAGGGGGGATTGGGGGTCATTGGGGGCGGATTTGGGGTCGTTGAGGGGGATTTGGGGTCATTGAGGGGGATTTGGGGTCATTGGGGGGCATTTGGGGGTCATTGGGGGGGATTTGGGAGTCATTGAGGGGGATTTGGGGTCATTGGGGGGGATTTGGGGTCCTGGGGGGGGATTTGGGGTCCTGGGGGAATTTGGGGTCCTGGGGGGGGGATTTGGGGTCATTGGGGGGGATTTGGGGTCCTGGGGGAATTTGGGGTCCTGGGGGGGGATTTGGGGTGCTGGGTGCAGCCTGAGGGTGCCCCCAGGGGATCCCGCACCCTCCATGGACACGGAGCTGACGGGTCCCCAGCAGAGCACCGGGAAGGGGGTGCAGGGCGCTGGGTGCTGGGGGGTCCCCATTGCACCCCGGGGGGCTGGGGGGGGCAGGACCATGTCCGCAGCGGTGGGGGGGGAATGGGGGTGTCCCCATAGATGGTCCCGGGGGGGGGGGACGGGGACGGGAGGTCCCTGAGGGGCTCAGGAGGTCCCCAAGGGGGTCCCAATGTCCCCGATGGGATCAGGATGGACCTAAAGGGCTCAGAAGGTCCCCAAGGGGGCCAGGAGGTCCCCAAAGGGGTCCCAATGTCCCAGATGGGATCAGGAGGTCCCCGAGGGGGTCCCAATGTCCCAAATGGGATCAGGATGGACCTAAAGGGCTCAGGAGGTCCCAAATGGGATCAGGAGGTCCCCGAGGAGGTCCCAATGTCCCCAATGGGCTCAGGATGGACCTAAAGGGCTCAGGAGGTCCCCAAAGGGGTCCCAATGTCCCAAATGAGATCAGGAGGTCCCCAAGGGGGTCCCAATGTCCCCAAGGGGCTCAGGAAGCTCCCGAGGGGGCTCAGGAGGTCCCCGAGGGGGTCCCAATGTCCCAAATGAGATCAGGAGGTCCCCAAGGGGGTCCCAATGTCCCCGAGGGGCTCAGGAGGTCCCCAAGGGGGTCCCAATGTTCCCGAGGGGCTCAGGAAGCTCCCGAGGGGTTCCGGATGTTCCCGATGGGCTCAGGAGGTCCCCAAGGGGCTCAGGAGGTCCCCGAGGGGGTCCCAATGTCCCAAATGGGATCAGGATGCACTTAAAGGGCTCTGGATGTTCCCGATGGGCTCAGGAGGTCCCCAAGGGGGTCCCAATGTCCCAAATGAGATCAGGAGGTCCCCGAGGGGTTCTGGATGTTCCCAAGGGGCTCAGGAGGTCCCCAAGGGGGTCAGGAGGTCCCCAAAGGGGTCCCAATGTCCCAGATGAGATCAGGAGGTCCCCGAGGAGGTCCCAATGTCCCCAATGGGCTCAGGAGGTCCCAAATGGGATCAGGAGGTCCCCAACGGGGTCCCAATGTCCCCGATGGGCTCCGGATGCACTTAAAGGGCTCCGGATGTCCCCGCTGGGCTCAGGACCCCCCCGCTGGGCTCAGGACCCCCCCGATGGGCTCCGGATGTCCCCGATGGGCTCCGGATGCCCCCGATGGGCTCCGGACCCCCCCCCCGATGGGCTCAGGACCCCCCCGATGGGCTGAGGACCCCCCCGCTGGGCTCCGGACGTCCCCGATGGGCTCCGGATGTCCCCGATGGGCTCCGGATGTCCCCGATGGGCTCCGGACCCCCCCCCGATGGGCTCCGGACCCCCCCGATGGGCTCCGGATGCCCCCGATGGGCTCAGGACCCCCCCCGCTGGGCTCAGGCCCCCCCCGCTGTGCCCCGCTGCGGTCCCGTCCCCACCTTGTCGATGAAGGAGGCGAATTTGTTGTTGAGGTCCTTGATCTGCTCCCGCTCCCGGCGCCGCAGCTCCGGCAGCCCCGGCTCCAGCCCCAGCTCCAGCGGCCGCAGGAGGCTCCGGTTCACCGTGACCGAGGCGATGCCGGCCCCGGAGCCCCGCGGTCCCCCCGGAGCGGCCCCGGAGCGCAGGAGCAGCCCCGAGCAGGAGCGGGACGTGAAGGAGCGGCCCCGGGAGGCCGAGCGGCTCCGCAGCGGCTGCGGGGGGATGGAGACGGACATGGGGAGAGGAGGGGATGGGGACGGGAATGGGAACGGGATGGGAACGGGAACGGGAATGAGAACGGGAATGGGAACAGGAACGGGATGGGAACGGGAACGGGATGGGAACGGGAACGGGATGGGAACAGGAACGGGAACGGGATGGGAACGGGAATGGGATGGGAATGAGTTTGGGAGAGGGCAAAGAGGCTGGGAGGGAGATGGGAAAGGAGCTTGGGATACAGGAAAAGAGGCTGGAAGAAGCTTGGAAGGTGGGAAAGGGGCTACAAGGAGGTTCGGATGAGGTCGGGATACAGGAAAGGAGGTTTGGATGAGGTTGGGATAGAGGAAAAGAAGCTGGAAGGAGGGTGGAAGAAGGCTGGAACGAGGTCGGGATACAGGAAAGGAGGTTTGGGTGAGGTTGGGATACAGGAAAAGAAGCTGGAAGGAGGGTGGAATGAGGTCGGGATACAGGAAAGGAGGTTGGAAGAAGTTCGGAAGGTGGGAAGGGGCTACAAAGAGGGTGGAATGAGGTCGGGATACAGGAAAGGAGGCTGGAAGAAGGCTGGAATGAGGTCGGGATACGAGGAAGGAGGTTGGAATGAGGTCGGGATACAGGGAAGGAGGCTGGAAGAAGGCTGGAATGAGGTCGGGATACAAGGAAGGAGGTCGGAATGAGGTCGGGATACAGGAAAGGAGGCTGGAAGAAGGTTGGAAGGTGGGAAAGGGGCTACAAGGAGGTTGGTGTGAGGTCGGGAGACAGGGAAGGAGGTTGGAATGAGGTCGGGAGACAGGGAAGGAGGTTGGAATGAGGTGGGGATAGGAGGAAGGAGGCTGGAAGAAAGGTGGGATGAGGTCGGGATACGGGAAAGGAGGGTGGAATGAGGTTGGAACGAGGTGCGGATACAGGAAAGGAGGCTGGAAGAAGGCTGGGATGAAGTCAGGAGCCGGCAAAGGGGGTACGGGGAGGCTGGGACGAGGCCGGGGAGCAGGAAAGGAGCTGCGGGAGAGGTCGGAAGCCGGCAAAGAGGCTGGAATGGGGCAGGAAGGGGGGAGGCCGGGCGGTGCTGGCAGGACAGGCAGGACGGGACGGGCAGGACCGGGTGTGGAGGCGGCGGGGCCCCCCCCGGGGGGAGGAGGCTCCCGGTTTGCATCCAGGAGCAGGAGGAGGAGAATGGGATGGGGTGGGAGGGACTCGGGCCGGGAGAGCGGCACCTGCCGCCGGTTAACCCCTTCGGAGCGGCGGGGGGGCACCGGCACCCAACCGGAGCTGCTGAACACATCCAGGACCCACTGAACCCAACCGGGACCCATTGAACCCAACCGGAGCTGCTGAACACATCCAGGACCCACTGAACCCAACCGGGACCCACTGAACCCAACCGGGACCCATTGAACCCAGCCAGGACCCATTGAACCCAACCGGGATCCATTGAACCCATCCAGGAGCAGCCAGAACCCACTGAACCCAACCGGGACCCATTGAACCCAACTGGGACCTATTGAACCCAACCGGGACCCATTGAAACCAACCAGGATCTATTGAACACATCCAGGACCCACTGAACCCAACCGGGACCCATTGAACCCATCCAGGACCCACTGAACCCATCCAGGAGCAGCCAGAACCCATTGAACCCAACCAGGACCCACTGAACCCAACCGGGACCCATTGAACCCATCCAGGAGCAGCCAGGACCCATTGAACCCAACCAGGACCCATTGAACCCAACTGGGACCTATTGAACCCAACCGGGACCCATTGAAACCAACCAGGATCTATTGAACCCATCCAGGAGCAGCCAGAACCCACTGAACCCAACCGGGACCCATTGAACCCAATCCGGACCCATTGAACCCAACCAGGACCCACTGAACCCAACCGGGACCCATTGAACCCAATCCGGACCCATTGAACCCAACCAGGACCCACTGAACCCAACTGGGATCCATTGAACCCATCCAGGAGCAGCCAGAACCCATTGAACCCAACCAGAACCCATTGAACCCAGCCAGGACCCATTGAACCCAGCCAGAACCCATTGAACCCAGCCAGGAGCAGCCAGAACCCATTGAACCCAACCAGAACCCATTGAACCCAACTGGGACCCATTGAACCCATCCAGGAGCAGCCAGAACCCATTGAACCCAACTGGGACCCATTGAACCCATCCAGGAGCAGCCAGAACCCATTGAACCCAACTGGGATCCATTGAACCCATCCAGGAGCAGCCACAACCCACTGAACCCAACCGGGACCCATTGAACCTTGAACCCATCCAGGACCCATTGAACCCGGCCAGGACCCATTGAACCCAACCGGGACCCATTGAACCCATCCAGGAGCAGACAGAACCCACTGAACCCAATCGGGACCCATTGAACCTTGAACCCATCCAGGACCCATTGAACCCAGCCAGAACCCATTGAATCCAAGCAGGACCCATCCAGGAGCCGCTGAATCCATCCAGGAGCAGCCAGAACCCATTGAACCCAACCAGGACCCAATCAGTGCCCAACCAGGACCCAACCACAATCCAACCAGGACCTATCAAACCCATCCACAACCCAACCAAAACCCATTCAGGACCCATTGAACCCAACCAGGACCCAACTAGAACCCAACCAGGACCCAACTAGAACTCAACCAGGACCAACTGAACCCAACCAGGACCAAACTAGAACTCAACCAGGACCAATTGAACCCAACCAGAACCCATTCAGGACCCATTGAACCCAACCAGAACCCAACTAGAACTCAACCAGGACCAACTGAACCCAACCAGAACCCATTCAGGACCCATTGAACCCAACCAGAACCCAACTAGAACTCAACCAGGACCAATTGAACCCAACCAGAACCCATTCAGGACCCATTGAACCCAACCAGAACCCAACTAGAACTCAACCAGGACCAACTGAACCCATCCAGAACCCAACCAGGACCCACTGAATCCAACCAGGACCCAACTAGAACCTATTCAGAACCCAACCAGGACCAACTGAACCCATCCAGAACCCAACCAGGACCCACTGAATCCAACCAGGACCCAACTAGAACCTATTCAGAACCCAACCAGGACCCATTGAACCCAATCGGAACCCCCCTGCAAGGCTCCAGGCTTGGGGCAGAGTGGAAGCTGCCCATGGGGAAGGAGCTGGATGGATGGAGCTGAGCAGGAGCAGCTTGTGCCCAGGCAGCCCCCAGCATCCTGGCCTGGCTCAGCACCAGTGCGGCAGCAGGGCCAGGGCAGGGATTGTGCCCCCACACTGGGCACTGGGGGGGCTGCACCTCGAATCCTGTGTTCAGCTCTGGACCCCTCACTGCAAGGGGGACATTGAGGGGCTGGAGTGGGGCCAGAGGAGGGCAATGGGGCTGGTGCAGGGCCTGGAGCCCAGGGGTGATGGGGACCTGAGGGGTTCAGATGGAGAGGAGAAGGCTCAGGGGGGACCTGATCGCATCCCCCCCCCCCCTCATCCCGGCTCCATCCCAGATCCCGTCCCAGTCCCGCCCAGTTCCTCTTATCAAGGGGAATTCCCAGCCCAGCACATTCCAATTCCAACCCCCCCCGGGCCAGGCTGGGGCAGGGCCAGGGCCTGTAGGAACCCCCCCCAGAGTGCTGGGACCTCCCGAATCCACCCCAAATTCACCCCCACAGATCCCCATTGCACCCCACAGCTCCCCATTGCCCCCCCACAGCTCCCCATTGCACCCCCACAGCTCCCCATTGCACCCCCACAGCTCCCCATTGCCCCCCCACAGCTCCCCATTGCACCCCTACAGCTCCCCATTGCACCCCACAGCTCCCCATTGCCCCCCCACAGCTCCCCACTGCACCCCATAGCTCCCCATTGCACCCCCACAGCTCCCCATTGCACCCCCACAGCTCCCCATTGCACCCCATTGCCCCCCCACAGCTCCCCATTGCACCCCCCCAGCTCCCCATTGCACCCCATTGCCACCCCACTGCTCCCCCACAGCTCCCCATTGCCCTCCATTACCACCCCACTGCCCCCCCCAGCTCCCCATTGCCACCCCGTTGCCCCCATTGCTCACTGCTGCCCCCTATTGCCTCCACCCTCTCCCCCTCTATTTACCCCCATTGCCACCTCCTTGCCACCAATTGCCCCCCCCAACACTGCTCCCCATTGCCCCCATGGGAGGAAGATGGGGGGGGTCCATAGGAGGATGGGGATGGATCCAGGGCAGGATGGGGATGGATCCAGGGGGGGATGAGGATGGACCCGGGGGGGGGGGGGGGGGGGGGGGGGTCCATAGGGTGAGGAAGATGGATCTAGGGGGATGGGGGGTCCATAGGAGGATGAGGATGGATCCAGGGCAGGATGGGGATGGATCCAGGGCAGGATGGGGATGGATTGGGGGGTGCCAGGAAGTCCATAGGAGGATGAGGACGGAGCGGTGGGGTGCCGGGGGGGGCATAGGAGGAGGAAGATGGATCTAGGGGGATGGGGGTTCCATAGGAGGATGAGGATGGATTGGGGGGTACCAGGAAGTCCATAGGAGGATGAGGATGGAGGGGTGGGGTGCCGGGGGGGCCATAGGACGATGAGGATGGATCCGGGGGGGGGAGGAGGGATCCGTAGGAGGATGAGGATGGATCCGGGGGGGATGAGGATGGATCAGGGGGGTGCCGGGGGGGGGGGCATAGGACAATGAAGATGGATCTAGGGGGATGGGGGGGTCCATAGGGGGATGAGGATGGATCCAGGGCAGGATGGGGATGGATCCGGGGGAAGATGAGGATGGATTGGGGGGTGCCAGGAAGTCCATAGGAGGATGAGGATGGACCGGGGGGGG